ATAGTGTTTTATCAAACTTCTATCAAACTTTTGAGCTCGAAGAGCTCAAAAGCATACAATAGCTATTTTTTCGAGCTCAAAATAATACACAAATTGTATTTATGAGCTCGAAGAGCTCTAAAACGTCATAAGTGCAATTTCAAGCGTTTAGGTATAGAATTGGCGGGAAGTTGCAGAGATGGCCTTCAGGGTCAACCGTATTCCTAATTTTTTTTTACAATTAACGACCTTGCACTCCTATATAGGGGAGGAATTTTGTAAGATCCTATTCGATATGATTTCTACATTATAAATAAAAGATTCCTACTCAGCTTCGATCCCATAGAAACTATCGTTTGGAAATGAGAGTTTTTCATTGTTAACGCCCCTACAATCCGTATTGAGATTAGGATATGATAAAATCCATTCTTAGCTGAACTTGACACAAAGATTCCTACCAAATTTAGAGTCTATAAAAGTTACAGTTTGGAAATTGAAATTTAACATTTTACCACCCACCCCCGCAATCCTTATTGGTGGTGGGTTGTCATAAAATCCGCTCTTGGATCATTTCTGCATCATATATAGAAGATTCCTACCAATTTTGGAGCATATAGGAGCTATAGTTTGAAAAAGGTCATTCGACATCCGAATTGGAAGTAGATTTCATTTTATTTCATATCTGTGGACAAAACAACTACAAAAGTAAAATGTCTTAAAAATGATCCTAAGAGCTCGAAGAGCTCAAAAACGTCACAAGTGCAATTTTTAGCGCTTAGGTGTAGAATTAGCGGAAAGTTGCAGGGATGACTTTAAAGTCAACCATTTTCCTAGTTTTTTTTTTTTTTTAATAGTAATTAAAAATTACAATTATATGTGTATGTTTGATTTTAGTTTCGATGAAGCATCTATGGACAATACTTCTTTGGCCATATTTCCTGGAAGTGATGATAAGCCTTATGACAAAGAAGTAAACAATGAAATTGAAGTCACGTCATTGGAAGAAGCTAAGTTGATCATAGCAGCATTAAGAGCCCGACAGAGGACACAGACACATCAAATGCTAACATGGAGAAGAACACTTAAATTACAAGTAATTAAATGTTTTATTTCAATTGTTTTCATTCAAAACCTATCAATAAGAAACTTTTAGTTTTACATAAATATATTAGTACTTAATTCATAACACTAGTGAAATGAATAAAAATATTATAGCAGTTACAATAAATCCTATTGATGAATTTCTTTGTTGCGCGTGTAGAAATTGTTATAAAATTATCTCATATTTAAAAAAACAAAAAAAAAAAACAACAGGTGTTGAGGAACACCTGGTTGAAACCAACTCCCTTTTGCTGTATGTTAAAAATTAAATAATAAGCATTATAAAACGAATTAACAAGGTTAAGAATACGCTCAAAATTCAATTTTTTTTATCAAAATTTTTATTATTTAAAAGTTTTACTCATTTACTATTTATGCACAAAAAATAAGATTTTCTGTGTATGACTTTCAAAAAGCTTCGATTTTCCGTGATATCCAGATTTGCCCTATCCTCTTCATGTCTGTTATATACCGTTTGAATTTATTGAAATAACATTTGAAAAACTTGACATTGATTTTTAATAATAAATAATTTTTTTTATAAAGTATGATAAAATAGTATAAAACAGTATTTTTATAACACGTAGGAAGATATGGTGATTCGATTAAGAAGAGAAAAAGCTGAACAACTGAGGACTTTATCATCACAATTGTTTTTATTTGAATCAAGACTTTGTAGAAAACAGAAGGAAATTGAAGCTAGTTTATCTCAAAGAGAAGCTATTATCTTGCGACAGCAACGTGTAATAAGACAACTTCAATGTAGGCTAGCAGACAAAAGTTCACAAACAAGGGAATCTCCACCTTGTGATGCTTTGGATAGACTAGACAGTCTTGGTGATAGTGACAGCGCTGTTGTTCTCGAAGAAACGCCAGATGATCCTATTCCTTCGAGGTACCGTATGCGTAATAATTTTTAATAAACAAAACACTATTTTTATTTTTTATTTTTATCTATTTTCTATCTCTTTATACCTAATATTATATTCACTTTGACTAATTTAAAAAATTAAAGAAATGGAAAAATTTTCGAATTTTTTTCTTAAATTTAAATCCGAAATTAATTTTATCAAGTCTATCATTAACTCAAATAAAGTTTTTTTTTTTTTTAAATAGCAAGAAAAACCAAAAAATTTTCTATTTTCTTAACTGTTTGGATTCATGAACTTCATTTTGATTGCATAGGTTTCGGTCCAATATAACTGATGTAACTGTGATTCGTTCTGTATCTGATGCAATAGAGCCTTCAAATAAGTATTTATCTATGAGAAGAAGTAATGGTTTTTTAAGAAGGCCTGAAATTCTTGAAACAGTTTATTCTGTTGAAGAAGATGCTGATGATAACAATCAGGAGCGCTCTGAGTCAATGGAAAATTTAGAGATGGAAGGAAAAAAAGATAAAAGTTCGAAGCAAGGCAAAGGAAGATTGCAAGATATTTATGGAAGCTTTGAACGGCTTACACAGGATGATTTGCCATCTATTGAACGACCTAAAGATGAGAACGCAGGTCAACAAGCTCAGGTATCATTATTTAGCATTCATTCTATTTTAGATGTAAATATACTCTTTACTTTTTTGCGTTTAACAAATAATAAAAAATTTCACTCTCACAGGTGACTTACAACAGGGTTATGAGTAATCATCGGTCAGTTACGAAACCGAAAGATGTCAAATATAAAAGAATTAATAAAGCTAAATCAAAAAGCCTGGAAGAGTTACGAGGAAAACTTAGAAATTGGGTTGAGAAAGGAAATAAAATTGCTATATCACTGGACCAATCGTATGCTTAAAAATAATTATAAGCATAGATTATTACTTATAAAAAAGTTTACGCTTATGACTGATTCAAATAATATTTTTTAATAACTTCTGAAATATTGCTCGAATTTGGTATGAAAGATGAAACAGATATTATAATATCGAATAATACTAGATGGTTACGAAAATGCATCTAATTTTACTGTAATAACTTGATATATCGAATTATTCAATTTCGTATTAAAAAAGTATTGATTATTATAAAATTACATTAATTATCCAAATAATTCAATAATGAAATTTAGTGCCAAAGTATTTAAACGTGTTATTGGAACCGAATCAATTTTATAAATTATTTAATTTGAGATAGATGAAACTATAATTCTAGAGAGAATAAAATTCATAATATAAAATTATTTATTTTACTTCTAGTTTCAAACTCTATCATTTTTATGGGTCAGTTCTTAATTATATTTTTGATTATAACAGTTATCTCGTCTACCGCCGTGTTTTCTATAACTTTGTTTCCAGAAATTTCAGACTCGTTGCAATCAAAGTTTTAGAGACTCTACTGTATTCATTTTTTACAATTAGATTAATTTTTCGTTAATTGAATGAAAGCTGCATACATATTTGATACTTTACATGAAAAAAATTTGAAAGCATATGCTTAAGGTTGTGTATAGATAGACTCATTTGATACCTTTAAATGAATCGAGATAAATTATATTTTTGTGATCAAAAATATTGTAAGAAAAACAATCATTTGTTTATTATTAGTTATATTTTATAATAAGTAATATTATTCAAATTCTGAAATTATTAATTGTATTTAATAAAATTAAAAAACTGAGATTAGTTTATGACTAACGTATAAAATACCGATAAAAAGACTAATGTAAACATATATTAAACAAGGCTAAATTAAAGGCCTATTTGAAAGATCTCTCATTTAATATGATTAAGTATTTAAATATGTCAATCACCAATTATATATTATTTGTAACCTGTGTATAATAGGATGAGTAAATTAAGAGCGAAATTGATTAATACTTTAATATTTTATAATAGTGGCATTTTAAGATTTTCTATCGCTCATCTAAACAATATCAAGATAAATAGTTTGTGCTTTTTTCCATATATTTTTGTAAACTGCAGAAAAACCTTTGTAAGTCAAGTTATATATCATTTTTCATAGCAAAGATTACAAGTTAATCTTTTCCAAACTTATTTAAAAATCGTATATTGTTATCATGAATGTTTTTGCAAGACGTAAAAACTTTGATGAAAATCTTGTACAGAATTAAGCGAATTGTTAAAATAGTCTTAGCGATTAATAAATACATAAGTATCTGTAAAATTTGATTGTTAAGAGCATTGTTTTATTGCGAATTTATCTAGAGAAGTGAGTTTAGTTTTTTTAATTTATCGCTTGCTTATTAATGTAATTGAAAAAAGACTTCGCATTTGTAAAATTCACTTAGGATATTGATAAAATCTATTGCTAAGAAATAAAAAACCTGTGTAAGAATGAATATCACATGCAAAATGTCAATAATAAAGTAATATTAATAATCACAATAATATATATACATGTAAAATAAATTGTTGCAACCGTATTCTCAGCTAATTAAAGTACAATTATTCTTAAAATAATTACCTAATCAAATCTGGAAATTAGTGAAATCTTATGTTAATATAGAAGTAATATCCATTGAAAATTTTTCTAGTTACCAAAACAATTCACTTTTTGTTCTCTCTAAGTTTAAGAAATTCAAAATTATAAAAAGCAAAAATTTTGAAATTTTTGAACTAACTTCAATTTTGTATGGGTATAAATTTGTTCAGAAATTTTAATTTCGAGGTGTATGGCGTTTGTAAACTTTACTCCTTTTTTTCTCGGCTTAGACCATAAAATTTCATTTTACAGCATCTTTTACTACAATAAAACAAAAGTTAATTCATAGATAAAATTTTTTTGTAGAAGATAGTCACAATAATTACTGTAACGACTGATTAAAGAAACTTCCTGTAAAGTTTCGTCAGAGAACAGCTCATATTCTTATAATTGTTAATAATGAATGTGACAGTTCAAATTTCAACATGATTATATCATCTAAGACCCAATTACTACTTATTTGCTCTTAAAATTTATATAATTCAAAGATATGTATTTATTTATATAATAATGAAAACCGTTTTCTCGTCTTTGCGAAAGAGTTTGGATGAGCACAACTGTTTGTGACTCCCACTAAAAAATCAAAATTTTTATTTCAAAATTCTTACCAAATTTCAAAATGTTCATTTTTATGTCATGAATAAGTCATTCAAATTTCAAAGTGAGTCGATCATTTTAAAACTAACTAGAACATTTGTTTAGAAAATTTAGCGTAAAATGGCACAAACCATTATTGTTATTAACTTATTAACTATTTTTCGGACGGAGATGAAAAAAACATAATTGTGAATTTTTTTAAGCTCTACACTTTATCTGTTGTGACTGAAAATGTCGAACAAATAGTTTTTGCGAAAAAAAATTTTTAATTAGCAATTTTTCGATTACTTGTCATTTATAAACAATTTAAGAGCGGTTATTAGTTATTTCTAGAATTCAACATTATCCTACTCCCTATCAAAAAACCGCCTACCAGTTATTTTTGGAGATATTGCCAGTTGAACAGTTGGAATGGGGTTTCTTCTTTAGGCTACATTCTCACTAAACATGAAGAAAATTTTATTAAATAAATTGTTTAAAAAATTTCAATTTCAGTAATACAACAGTCATGTCTCAATTCTAAGCTAACATCAATAACTTGTAATACATATGATATACATATCATATGTATATAACATCAATATCATATATATACATTATAATAGTATGTAATCAGTTATGTCGATAGTAAAAATTTTTCCTGTGATGTAATGGCGCTTCCGACAAATATAAATAATAGTTTGATAAACTAAAAAACACGCTTTAATAGAAAACCAAACTAAAAAGTAGAAAATAATTTTCAATAAATTTAAAATAAAAATAGTGTGAATAACAAAAAAAATTCATTCTATTGTAAAAAAGCGGGAGATCTTTCTCAAACTATTTTCATAATCACTTTACTTTCATCAATATATGCCAATAAAATATTTACAACAATTGACCTCAAGCACTTCACGCTTTTTTACGATACAATGAATTTTTTTTTTTAATCACTCTATTCTTATTTTAATTTATTTATTTAAAACTATTTACTTTTTAGTTCAATTTACCAATAAAGCGTGCTTTTTAGTTTTTTAAACTATAGTTTACTAAGTTTGTAACTATCTCCCTGTGACAGGAGTGGGTAATTTACGCGGCTGCTGCCTTCCTTGGAAACCGTTTCTTAAGTTTCCTCCGGGGTAAATTTAAAAATCGCTAATTTTGACGATTCTAATCAGGACAATACCGCAAACTCATTAAATTATAGTATTGTCATCGGTCCTTGACAAGACGTCCAAAGTTTCCATTGAATCCAACTTGGAGTGAAAATCACGTTTAAAAATTCCGTTTCATAGATATATCTATAGATATAGGTAAAGTTAATAAAAACGTGTTAATAATAAAAATTATTTACGAAATTTTAAGCATTCAAATGTGTTTCAGGCAAAATTGAGTTCAATTTTTAAAAATTTTCATTAATTGTCAAACTTTATTGTTAAAATAATAGTTGGGATGATTATAGTTAATATCATTTAGCAATTGGCATGAAAGTTAGCAATCAATTCACGAAATCTCAGTTAAATCATCAGAATTTTTCTTTAAATAAATAATTATTGTTAGACGAAGGGAAAAAATTAATTTTTTGTAGTCATTAAGTACAATTATTTCTTTAAATAATCAAGTCAAGACTCAGCCCGTTGTTTATTGTCAATCTTGGCTCTTGGAGCAATAGCTCTAATCAGAACATTTTTTGAAAATTTTTAATTATTTCGGAGAAAAAACAAAATTTTCATATTGTACAAGTGTAACAAGTATGTTACCGTTTATCTTCGTAAATATTAGGAGAAAAAAAAAACCTAGACAGCGTTTAATAATAAATTACATAGTATTTATTATTCTTAAATTTGAAAAAAATACTGATTCGTTATTCTTCCGAATTCATAAAATTTATTTTTCGGTATTTTGAAACGTAGATATGCATCTTTTAAAAAAATTAAATAAACTTTTCAAAGCTTAGTGGAAAAAGAAAAGCTAACGATTAACTTGAAACAATATTGCTGAAAATCAAAGCTTGAAGATATTTTTCTGTTAAACAGCGTTAATTCCAGTGACACACATAAATAGAAGTGCGTTAACGGTATCCTATCAAGTGACCTACTCTTAATATTTTTCTTTCTCTCTTTAAAAAGTATTTGAAATGGTTATAAGTTATAATAAAGCCTTTCTCCATCTTTATTTTCGCCTTTCCATGATCAACCAAGTGTACATGAGCACTGTTTCATTTGGAGGTTTTAAGTCAATGCCTGGCAGTAAGTGTATTTTTTCCACTATGATACGTTCTTAACGTTTTTTGTATCACTCTTCTCTCACCTTCCTTACTCTCTTCCTCTCGAGTATCAGATACTTGATTTTAACAGCAGTAATGAAAGCGTCTTCACCTAAGAAAGAAGTGCTTCTACTAGCACAACAACAATCGATACTCATTTTATTCGATAGTACACGAGCATAGAGTTTTGAAGAAAATATATATTATTATAAATGTTATTTAAGTGAAATATTTCAAAAATATGTATATTTATGTAATTTAGTCAACAACTTTTTGCCTATTGTTTTGTAATTTTAGTATATCATCCTGGATTTTCTGTTATTAAGTTAAAGTTATGAGTGCATTTAGTTTATTTATTCTACAGGTGAGTTGCATTTTAATTTTGTTTTCGATCGTTTTTTTTTCTTTTTTTTTTTTTTATAGACATCATACAACACTTAAATTCAACATACAGATAACTTCCCTTAATTACTTGATGTATGTAGATAAAAACGTACATTGAAGTGATATATGTAAGGCGTTTTACGCACAAAAACCGCTCAGTTTGAAAAAGATTAGTTGATTGACTCAATTTATTTACTTTGGAAAAAATCTGTCACACCAAAAAATATCAAATTTTTTGAGTACATAGTTTTTTTTTCAATGTTTTGCTAACTTTTTTATGAAAGACTGAATAGAAATTATTTTTTTTTTTTTTCAAAATTTGCGCTTTCTCGAGTACTTAAAAAAAAAAAAAGTATAAAAAAATTTTTGAAATTATTTTTATACACAATTTTTGAGTTAGAAACTTTCAATATTGTTATTTTGATGCTTTTTGAAACATTTTTTTTTGGCAATATTATACTTTTAGAAATTAATTATGTCGAATTCAAATAGAAAAATTTGTTTTTTTTTAGTTTATATCTATACTTTTACACCATTAATACTTAGTACTTTGAAATTCGTATAATTAGTCGTTGAATATGTTTGATAATAATAATCACACCGGTTTTTTTATTTCTTTATCTACTTGTCGAATAATTTTTTTAAAAATATACTTTCGATACCGTTTTAAATACGCTTTAGAAAGTTGTTTTTCTTATTTAAATTAATAAGTATCATTTAAAATTCAAAAAATAGTCACGTAGTTTAAAAAAATACTTTCTCGAATGGTGGTGTTGATAATTGTTTCTGTATATCGGCAGTTCAATTGTTTTTCTTTTAATATTTCCAACATTGTTTTCTACTGAAAACTCGACCAAATCTTTTGTATGTATGTCAATTTTGTTGGTGCGTTATTCATTAACATCAACTTATGATAGCAATGAAAAAGCAAAAAAAGTAATAACTAAAATTTCGCCTAACATGACTGACATTATTGAAGAAAATGATGTAAATCTGTAAATGATTATAAATACAATGTCGAAGGTATAACAATTTATTTATATTAGTTAATAATAACAAATCGAAAATCTAAAGTATCGACTCTCTTTTTAGAAAAACTAATTTAAAGCTTTAAAACCACACATGAAGACTCTTTGAAAAATTTATTTAAAAAATTTTTTTTTTTAGAAAATTGAAAATTTTCATGAATTGTTATAAAATTTCAATTAAATGTGTGTGTGTGGGTGGGGGGGGGGTGGGTGAGTGTGTGACTGTGTGTAGACCTCTCGTAACTGTTGAAGGGATTGTATGTATTAGAGCTCGAAAGTGCAAACAATTACATTTGTGAACTCCAAAAATTTAATAAAAGTTTTAGAGTACTACACTTACGCAAAATAAAAATTATTTCAGATGGTAATTACACCATTTACTATCTCTCAACTTCCTGAATCTAGTTATATGAATTCGTTCGGATATGATGCATCATCAGCATGTAAAAAACCGTTTGCAAGGAATGCAAAAGCGTACTTCGAAAAACTTCCATGTGATTTTCAACATCAAAATTGGTGTACCGTAGCTGGAAAATTTTATCCATGGTATAATTAATAATTTTTTTTTTTCATTATTGAACATTGTATGTATATAATTGAAAATTCTTTATTGAAAGAACTTTATTTACAAATGGGTTTAATTTATACTTTTAACAATTATTTTCAATGGCTCGCCGGTAGAGTCAACCGTGTTTAAAATTTCTTATAACTTTTTTGTCAATATTTTGGTTTTATCTCTTCTTTAATTTTTCTTTATTAAGGAAGTATGAGCGCTAGGCAGGGTGGGGATAGGTATCGACTCTATAGCGCGCTAAGGGGAGAGCAGTAACCATATGATTTTTCTCAATATATAGATATACATTTAACATTGGCTAATGGCGGCATTTATTTTTCTTTTAATTAATACACTTTAATTAGTCGGGCAAGTGTAAATTTTTTTGAATTAAATTTATCACTGATATATTTACTTTCATCCATAAGTTTTTTAAACATATTCACCGACAGTTTTACGAGAAAAATACAGAAATGTATCAATGTATGGAGGTTACCCCATAAGACCAATCTTAAATTGCTCAACTTCAAAGTTAATTATCCTTTAGTAAAAAGTTGATGTGACGTTTTCATTGTTGTCGCTTTTCGTTGCCATGGTTATCGTTGCTATGGTAACCGTTGCCATAGTAACTGTTGCTATGGTAACGGTTTCTATAGCGACTTTTTTCCATGAAAATAATCATAACTTTTATTATAAAGTTGATGTGACGTTTTCATTGTTGTCGTTTTTCGTTGCTATGGTGACCTTTTTTTGGCAATGGTTATCATAGCAACGGTTACCATGGCAACGGTTAAATATTAATAAGTAAAATTTTTTAAAAGTATTGATTAATTAAATCGTCAATAATAAACATTTTGACAGAAGCGCGCAAAGCGCGTTCGATTTTCTAGTTTATTTAAATAATCGGGCAATCTCTTCCAAATTTTTGGAATGTGTTTAGACATATTTAAACTTCATATTAAAAAAAAATCAAGCCTTTTATCAAAAGTTGTCGTGGTGCTCGTACTTCCTTAACAATCTTACTCTCATAAAAATAAGAAAATTTAATCTAATATGAAAATTTATTGTAATATAAACCTTAAAAAACTTGTTATTTTTATTAAGAACATGATCAATAAATATTTAGATATTTTTATATATCAGAAAATAAGTAATATTATACCGACGTTTTTTTCTTATTGTAAACTTATTTTTAAAGCCTTAAAATTCTCAACTCAAAGCTTATCAGAAAATTAAGTTGAAATCAATTAGAAAATTCGTAATGAAAAAACTTTAAAAAAATTTTTAAGATAAACCATATTTTAAGACAAAATATTGAATAATAACTATTAATTATTAGGCATGCAGTAAGAAGATTTGTTCAAGAAAATCAAGGTTTGATGAGACGAATGTACGGAGATGAAAAACATATTCTTGTTCTGAAAAATGAACTAGAAAAAAATGATATTGATTTGGAAATCGAGCAACGAAATCCAAAACTTTTTAATGACCCCCGGTAATTATTGAATTCAAAAACAAATAAATAGTTATCATATTTACATTTTTTCAATAATAAAATGTTTATTCTTATTTCAGTGGCTTTTTTGGAGACTATGATTACAATCAAAATGAAGATGATTATCAAATTAACAGAAATAAAAATCAAGATCATACATTCACGGAGACAATACCAAGATTCCATGATTCAACGAGACTACATCCTCAATTTACAGCATCTTCTACGTATCCATCTACAAACACAGTTTCATTGAACGAAAACTCATTACACTTAAACTCAACTCTTTCAACAAAATTATACAAAGCTACAGCTAAGACAGAATCAAATGATAAATTACCAAATGGCCTCAATAAGACTGATGAAAATAAAGAAAATAAAAACTCAAAAACGACAGTTCTATTGTCAGACATAGCTCGAATCAAAAATTCTAGTATCGATAAAATGCCAGATTTTCTATCAACAACGGAGTATAATATATTAAATCTAACAACAACTAATCCAATAAGTTCATTAGATATAGAAAAAACAACCATCAACCCTGAAAGTTTTGCTCAAACTTCAACGACTCTTGGTGAACAAATTGATTCGAACACTGATCGAATTAATAAAGACGAATTGTCTACCAATGAACAAAATTACCAATCACCAAAACCTCATTCAGAATATATATTATCTGATAATAAACTTAACAATAAAAGTCAATTATTCCAAGATGCAACAAAAGAGCAGACTGAACGACCAGTTCTCAAACTACGCGGAATGTGAGTATTTATGTTATGTCTCCGGAAAGTCAGCATGCTTGATCATATGATACGTAGAATTTATGTCGTATAACATTTAATATTTTCATTACATTTACTAAAATTTATCAAACAAACAAAATTTTTACTAACGTTTTAAATGAAATTTATTGTAATCTTAATTTAATTTTTTACAATCAATTTGAATTTATTTCCACTCATAATAATTTTTTATTAATATTTTAGTATTTTATTTTTTATTTTCCATGATTATGCATGAAATTTAGAACCTATAGACATTATAATATTTATTTATTACAGAAATGCATGTCCAGTAAAAGAAGAAGTCGTGGCACCGTTTTGGGCAAATAATACTCGTGGAGAAGTTTTAGCGCTTTTAAATTTATATCCTTTTGAACAATATGTTCATTGGGAAAAATGCACGTGAGTTAAATTTTTCATTTTTTTTTTATTATTATTAAGTATAATAAGGCATATTCTATACCTAGTATAGTCAGCAACTATTTTAGATTACTTTCTTTGATTCAGTTTAAGCTTATAAATATTATTGAGGTTAATAAAAGGAATGATGATATTTTTTTTTTACTTTGACAAACAGTAATTTTCAAAAAAATTTGAAAAAATTCATGAATATGTTTTTTATGAGCTTCAAAAATATATAAAATTAAAAAAAAAATTAGGAAAACGGTTGACCCTAAAGGCCATCCCTGCAACTTCCCGCTGATTCCGTTAATACCTTGCCGCTTTTTTTGAACTCTTCGAGCTCAAAAATACAATCTGTGTGTTGTTTTGAGCTCTCCGAGCTCAAAAAGATACCTTTTCTATGCTTTTAAGCTCTTTGAGCTCAAAAGTCTGAGAGAAGTTTCATAGAACACTATTTTTTTAATTTTCCAACCGCAATAACTTTTGAATGAATGAACCGATTTTTATGCGGTTGGCGGCACTCTACGCAGTTTTTTGAGCCTCATAAAGAATTTCTAAGTTTCAATTGGTCAAACTAGAAATTTCGGAGTAACTCCGAAAAAATACTTTTTTCGGTTTTCTTTTGTTCACGATATCTCTCGAACGAATCAACCGATTTTGACCAGATTGGCGGTGATCGACGTGGTTTTTCAAGGTTGAGAGCTGATTAGTTTTTGGAATCGATCGGTAGAGCCGTTTAAAAGTCATTCCAAAAAAACCACTTCTGAAAAAATTTTTTTTCCTATTTTTTTTTAGATTTCTCCAAATTTCTCAAAATCTATCGATCCGAATCAGTTCAAATTATCAGGAAATCTAAGTTTGGCGAAGCCCATTCGAATAGCACCAACCGCGATGAAATCGGTTCAACCGTTTAAAAGTTATAAGAGGTTTACACACACACACACACACACACACATTTCCGTGTGTCATTTCCGGAACTTTGCCGCTCAGAGTTCTAGCTGAGGAAAGACGGAACCTTTACCAACGAAAGAGGTCAACCACACTAAGTGCCGAGGAACTCAGAGCTGAAGAACGGCAGAACAGCATCGCACGATGGCAATCGCAGTGGGACGTCGCGACAATAGGAAGATGGACACACCGTCTCATACCGAAGATCGACGTTTGGCTAAACCGGAGTCATGGCGAGGTCAATTACTATCTGATGCAGATGTTGTCAGGACATGGATGTTTTCGGACGTATCTTCACCGCTTCAAGAATGATAATTCACCGGAGTGCCCGTCCTGCCCAGGAATCAATGAAGACGTGGAGCACGTTTTCTTTGAGTGCCCACGATTTTACCCACAGCGAGATGAGCTGGAGATAATCCTGAAGAAGAAAATCCAACCAGAGACAATAGTAGAAGCAATGCTGTCATCAGAGGCTGCCTGGAACGCCGCAAACACGTTTGCAACAGAAGTCCTTATAGACTTGCGTTCCATCGAAAGAAAAAGAGCAAATCACAACAACTAGAAGAAAGGTAAAATAATACCTTAGTTACCAGAAGGAAGAGCAGTCGCTATATCCTCCCCCCACGAAGTAATTCCTAACGGCGGTTTCCATGAGGGATTAGAGGAAAGAGGAAAGGGGTTTCGGGTTTAGTGGGTAAGGGCGCTAGCGTCGAGTTTTAGTATGACGCTGCGTCGAGTCGCCACATATCCAGGCCAAACAACTACGCCTAGAATCCGTAAAAAGGATTCCCCCCCCCTAATGGGAAACACACACACACACACACACACACACACACACACACACACACACACACACACACACACACACACACACACACACACACACACACACACACACACACACACACACACACACACACACACACACACACACACACACACACACACACACACACACACACACACACAC